CAATACTTACATTACTCATAATGTTTCTTGCGCAAACAACTAAATTGCGTACACAACTTTACATTATCATAACTTCAACTATCTAATTTGCGCCGCTCTCGTGATTAACCATAATAAAGGGCATAATATAAGGGTATAATACCAGCAAAAAAGGGCATAATTCCCGTGATCGCTTCGAAGCCTGATCAATATTCCGGTAATGAAATATTGCGTGTGATCACTGATCATGTTTCTATATGAACGAGTGATTTCGTGTGAGTCATGAGGTAGCAAATACGGTTAGACAAAATAGTTTGCAATTTAATATACTCACTTTGTCGCCTATGCGCTTAGTCTGTTTATAAGTTTATAAACACATCTTTCCTTGGCGGAATTAGTAACTATATTTTTTCGAATGCGTTTCTTCCCACCTACTTTCAAAATTCGGCGCGGGATCGGCACCCCCTTTTCATTTTTGCGCCCCCCAAAAATTGCCAGCTGGGGGGGCCGTGGTCCCCCGGCCCCCCCTGCCAGCACGCCACTGTAACGAGGGTCGTACGTCGAGGTCGAAAATAGTAAATTTTTATCCATTTCAAAAGTTTTACAACCATTTTGAAAGCTCCCAAAAGCGGCAAAACAATTAGTTTTGCTCTCAAAACTGAAAAATTTCGCCTACGGCTATAATCTATATGTATACTGAAAGTTTCGCTGAAGAACTATAAGTCTGATGCGAGGTTGGATGTTTGAAAGTATACGTATTTTATAGTTTGAAAGTATACGTATTCGCCAGTGCCGTAACTAGCTCGATAATTGTGGGGGGGGGGCAGATATTCATATATTCGTGTTCACAGACCATAAAAACAATCGATTTCAAAAGAAATTAATAACGCAGAACACGAATATATGAACATCTGCCCCCCCCCAATTATCGAGCTAGCTACGGCACTGCGTTTCGCTCTCATGAGAAATTTGATTATAAGAGGCTGTTTGTATGGTCCCGCTTACCCGGGATTCAATGAAGTGTAACGTATTTTGATCGAGCAATTGAAATACGTGTTTCAGCCCTAAACAAAAGTTAGATAACTTTAAATATTTTTTAAACGAAATTAGGAATGCGCCTGAAGATATGTAGTGAAAGAAGACGATTAATAGCATTCAACAAAATTTGTTTTTTTGTTTAAGACATGGAATTTCATACAATTTGTAACGAGCAATTTTGTTATATCATGAAGTGCGACTAACTTACATTGCTCAAAATACGCACGTCACACTTCATTACATTCCAGGACCCGGGGAAGCGGGACCATGGGCCCAACTTAATGCCATGGCGGCGATGTACAGAGTTCTGAAATTGCTCAGAACTTCAACTTAACGATACTCCCTATAGGGTATGACATCGTGTTTACAAGTCTGATATGTTGGATAAGTTGCAGAAAAGTATGGGTAATATCTTCATTTTTTGCAGTTTGTCATGGATAATGTAGCTGCTTAAAATTAATCAATTGTCAGTATTTTAAGGGTATATTATTTAAATGATAAATAAAGGTCCGCATGATTTTGAAAAAAGAATGATTATTAGCAAATTGGTTTCTTAAAAGAGCAAGTCGCTTACATGCAGTTATTGTGCATATAACAAAGTAAATTCAGCGTATGTTCTATACATCAGGTTTGATATTACTTTATAATTTCTGTGTATTGGGAAGTTTATTTATACAAACCGTCAAACACGTCACTATAATTACATTGACATTGTCATTGTAGTCACATCGCGAGTTTAATAAAATCTAGCCCTAATCTCAATGATTTATGCGAACTACTTCAGAGAAAACTAAGCACATATATTTCAGTTTGAAAAAAGTAGATAATACGGATTGATTTTACGAGCTATTGAGACTTTGAGTAGTGGATTTAAGCAGGCTATCAATAACTGACTTTTGTCTATTAATTATTATGTGTCAAGTCACGCGGATGCACGGAGCTTTTGCAACATGATGTTCATATAATCATATTGACTATTTATTTCTCTAAAATCCCGATAAACAAGCAAAATAATTTAAAATAATTTATAATTTATCTGTCAAAACCAAATAACAAGAGAAAACAAGTATAAATCCTCACGCTTCGACAGTCTATCTGAGCAGACTGTGTCTAGACGTACTGCCTGTCTATAAGTGTCTGTCTACATAATCGGCTGTATATTATAGACATTATAATTTCGTGATAACAAAACACCCCATAATATTTTTTACACCAGATTTGAGAGCAACATTTGCTCATACATTTGTCTAAATTTGAAGGAAATCGGAGTTTTACCGGAAAGGGAAAATTGATTTTCAAAAATTGTACCAAACTTAAAATTTTTTAACTTAAGTTTTTTCTTGTGATTTTCCCGATATTATAGTCAGTATAATTCCGCGGTAACAAAAAGCCCCAAAATAATTTTTATATCCACTTTTAGAGCAACAGTTTCTCTTTAAATTCCCTAAATTTCAAGGAAATTGGAGTTTTCCCGGATACGGAAAATTAATTTTCAAAAAGCGTAACAATTTAGAATATTTTGGATTGCAAAATAAGGCGATTTTTACACGCTTGCCTTGACTTTGAAACATCATTTAAAAGATTGCAAAATAGACTATCGTTGTTTATAAACATCTTTTATACACGTTTAAAAACCGAAAGTGAGGTTTCCTGAAGACGTGAACTGAGCAAAACAAAGTTTTCGAGAGGCTATGACTCACTATGTTTTTAGCTAATTTCACGAATCTTGGGTACATGTCAGGTTTTGATAATTTTTCGGCGTTTAAAATAATATTTCAGAAAACAAACCCCATCACGTTTCTAAGTATACATTAGTGTATCACTGGACAAAATAAGAAAACATTTCATTTTTCATCATGTGCCACCAGTTGCTCGGTGATAGTGGAGATTCCCTCTTAAGACTCATTGACACTGCAAAGAAAATCTATCATGATGAAAACCTAAAAGTAGAAAGAAATTAACTGCATGCAGTATTCCGACATGCAGACACGGTCAATTATATACTCTATTATATTTAAGGTTTACACAAACACACAGATATCACCATGTAAGTTGGGCACAATGGAGAAAATTCAGGTAAATTTCTTTCCGCCACCCCCCTCCCCTAATTTTCCCCCCTGCGGTACGCCCATGTTTTTTTGTACTTAGACTTAGCTTGAAATCGCCCATATTTTCATAATTTGTGTTTGTCTCGATGTGAAGAAAACAAAATGGATAATGACGTGATGTCTTGCCTTTTCTTACTGCATATTTAATTAACTGTGATGGGGCAATTGCCCTTTTCCCAAGAATCGACTCACAAATATTGTTCGAAAATTCACTAACAATTAATAATAGTCATTGTAGTCACAATCAGTATGTGAATGGCACGATTTTCTTAGTCGATTTGGATGGTTAATACCATTAAAAATGACGTATATGTAGTGAAATGCCCATTATACTTAGTAAGTAGACTTGGATCAAGTCCGTCTCTCAAGAGTCTGAGGGATCGGGCGCGTGAGGTGCAATAACGCGGGAAAGTTTGAGGGAGAAGATGGACTTGGCTCACCTGCAAGCACGCCAAATTTACCGACCTGTTTTTCCGTCAGTAATATGTCATAACTAGATTGCAATAATTTATGCTAATTGTAATAAAGCGAAAATAACAAAGTATCTTGTTTCAAAATATGTAGCGTTCCTGTCTCTCTTCTTGTCTGGTTTAGTTTAAAGTCTCTGGAACGGAGGTTGGTTTAGTTTATACTTACAGGATGAATTCGATTTGAGATGGTATTATTTATGGTTTGCGTAAACTTGAATACGATAAAATTATGGACAATTAGCGAAGAGTTTATGTCGAAACCTATGTGGCTGGTCGAGATGTCCTTTATAATATAAACTTATGGTTGCTCCAACTGAGTCAGGGAAGAGTCTAATTTTTCAAATAGACCCCTTTGTCTTTATAAGCCATGCTTCAAGATAGCGGTTGTAATGACTGATCAGTTAATATGATACTATAAACTACACAACACACACATAAAGTGTCACGTCAAATTTCATGATCACACAAAACTATGATACAGTCAGGGATATTTTGTTCAGGACAAATTTTGTGCAAATAGTCAAAATATAAATAAACTACAAGAGTCTATAGATATGGCGCGGTAGATTGGACAAATCGATGATTTGTCTAATAGATGATCATGTGCACATTTAATACAATGACTGTGCACGTTTAATATGATTACAGTGTACATTTAATATGATAATGATAGCCTTTTATTTGATTAGGTACCTTTGATTTGACGATCGTACACCTTTGATTTGACGATCGTACACCTTTGATTTGACGATCGTACACCTTTGATTTGATGATTGTACACCTTTGATTTGACGATTGTACACCTTTGATTTGAGGATCGCACACCTTTGATTTGACGATTGTACACCTTTGATTTGAGGATTGTACACCTTTGATTTGAGGATCGTACACCTTTGATTTGACGATTGTACACCTTTGATTTGACGATTGTACACCTTTGATTTGATGATTGTACACCTTTGATTTGATCAAAGGCCCGTGAACTTTTAACAGTGGTAGGTATTAAGAAACGCGACCATCTAGCGCTGACAAAGGCGCTGATCTCGAAAACACAAATTCATTTCAAATGAAATTTATATGAAATGATCTTTTATATTTTTCAATGACAATGAGTGAAATTCAAAACGTAGTTAATGAGTTGGTTCAACTTCGTGCGAGTTTCCTAGAAATAGAAAGTCAAAATGACATAACTTTGGATGATATACAGCGTTTAATTTCGTGTACTGAAGATTTTCATCGTCACATTTCCATTCTTCATGAAAGTGGCTTAATTTCCTCCGATTGCGTGAATATTTTGGGTGAAATGCTAACTTCCCTTCAGCAATGCGAAATTTTTTGCAATAAAAAACCTGTAGGAAGGCCCAAATTATTTCTCTGCCGAGATCAATTAGAATTCCTTCTATCAATGGGATTCAACAAGACACACTTATCAAGAATGCTTGGCGTCTCAACTCGCACTATTACTAGACGGATGACCGAGTACAACTTAGTAGGTGTGCAGTATTCTGAGCTTACAGATCAGGACCTGGATCGGATTGTGATTGACGTTCATAGACAGTTTCCAAACGCTGGTTACAGACAAGTGCTAGCTATTCTGAAAAGTCAAGGTGTTTTTGTTATAGAACGCCGACTTAGGGAAAGTCTTCAAAGATGTGATCCATTAGGGTCAGCTTTGAGATGGTTTGCTACGATTCAGAGACGGAGTTACAATGTGAGTAGTCCTCTGGCACTTTGGCATTTAGATGGAAATCATAAGCTGATCAGGTATAAAGTATATTTATAATAATTCATAAAATGGGAGACTAGTACTGTTTGTACTTGAAAGACTTGAAATTGTATTGTTTTCCTGAAGTCCTGGCCAAAAGGTTTAAAGAAAATTACAATTTTCTCACAGTTACTCCTATTATTTTGGTAGACATTTTCCTGCCATTTCCGTATACACACGCATGTGGTTTATGTTTGACATGTGCTTGGTATTGGTGACAGTTGCTAGTAACATTAACCTCCATATTGCAGCAGCTATTACCACTTAAACTTCCTATTATAAAAATCCAGTTGGCAAAATGGCAGTCTGTGATGGATTTTCACATTTTGCTCTGGGGTGCTGAATTATTTTTTTTTATGGTGGGGGGAGGGGAGCCTACATGTGCATAGAGTATCTAAATTTGCAGTACAATTTAGGTGGCGACTTGTTGTACATGGTGCTATTGATGGGTACTCACGCTTGGTTGTATTTCTGCGATGCTCTAATAACAACCGAGCTGTAACTGTTTTTCAACTATTTGAAGAAGCTGTTGCCAAATTTGGCCTACCATCTAGAATTCGAACTGATAAAGGAGGTGAAAATGTAGATGCCGCAATGTACATGCTTGAGCATCCACGAAGGGGTACAGGGCGAGGAAGTGTCATTACAGGTAGCAGCACTCACAATCAAAGAATTGAACGGCTTTGGAGAGATGTGTATAGTGGTGTTCTTTCTTTGTACCATTCATTGTTTAATCATCTTGAAGAATGTGGCGTGCTTGATCCATTAAGCAACATTGATGTATTTTCTCTCCATACGATCTTTCTTCCTCGAATCAATCGCCACATTGATGTCTGGAGCGAAGGATGGAATCAGCATAGAATGAGAACTGCTGGAAGTCTTTCTCCACTTCAACAATTTACCGAAGGATTGCTAAGGATACGTGGTTCAGATTCAATTATAGCTTCAGAAACATTTGAAAATCTAAATCAGGTTGGTTAATCTTACTTCCTTTAAATTGACTGTATTTATATTTAATATGCTTATTGTGTAATGTTAAAAACTCAACTAGCCATCTTGTCCCAATAGTGCTCATCATGAAATGAACTGCAAATTTTTAGGTAAATAGACCTTATGCATAATGATGTCACAAGGCTTGATAGCCGCGAGGAATGCTGGTCTTAGTAGATCCGGGCTTACGGATCGAAAGCTTTGCAGTACTAAATTTACGTGGTGTTTCCACAACTGACAAAACTATTATAATATAGATATAGTAAACGTCATGTAATGGATACTATAGTGTACTGTGTACTGCAAAGACAACTGGAACCTCCATATACATAATATATATACAACATAACCCTATTAAAACCCAGCCCTAACTACTAACCCTAACCTATATTGCTGCACGAAACATGGAACGATAAGTCGATAACCAAATTTCGATAGTGGCCATTTTGAATTGTTTAATTTTCCTGGACGATGAATACTAAGACCAGCATTCCTCGTGGACATCAAGCCTTGTGACGTCATTATGCATAAGGTCTATTGGCTGTTGGAGACTCAAATACACCTTTTATGTTTTTGACAAATGTCTAAAACCTGGTGTATGTATACATTAAACACAATGTTAATAGATCATTACTTAACCAAACGCGAGGTCTGTACAGAGAAATATCAGGCCAAAGTCTTTTTTTACAGATTGAGGTACAAAAAGACAGGTCCAATGTTTCTCTGTGCACACCGAGCAAGCGAGGTTAATAAAAAGTTTATTATATGGCGTTTATAGGCATTTACTGTTTTCTTGAAACAAACAAGGAAACATATAACTTGAACTGCATATTAGTAGCATGGTACACAAAGAAAACAAAAAATACCAACGTATTCCTTCTTTTCCACTAAAAACCATTCGCAGATATCTTATTAATAACAAATTAAATTATAATTTTCAAATTTTCAACTAGTTTTGCTGTTTTGTTTTTAAATGCATGCGTTTGTTTTACGTAATGGACTGACAGTTCATTATGGGAAAATAATAAATGGGCCACTGAAAGTGCTTCTCAGCCAATCACAGTCCTCCATTTCACCGGAAGGTGATGCCTGCCATATAATAATAAAAAATATTGCATGCTTACTTAGGAAGATGAAAGGCAATATGGGGTTGACTGGGATGGTCCTGTACCGAACAGTGATGACAATGATAAATATTCTCATGTTGAAGTCCCAAACACTGAAATTGAAATGACAGAAACTCAGAAAATGCATCTGAATTCATTAGTGCAAACCTTGGCAGACAGTGATTGTTATGGAATTGATTTATACATGCAAGTACGAAACTTCCTACTTAACCTGAATTGAATAATATGCAGTTCCTACGTACTGTTCTTCAGGTACATGTACACATGCTATCCAAGAAATAGGAAGGGGAAAACTGCAAACAACAATGACTTGTCAATCAAAAATTATCTTCCACCAAAGACAAATTTTGCACAAATTAATATCTGTTCTACTTAATCCAGAATCACATCACAAGGATGTTGTTAGTTAGAACCAATAGTCTTAGGATGGAGCATTCTTATTTGATGCAAGGTTTAACCTATTGAACCGCAATGTGCCCCATACCAGTACGCCCTACTTTTTTTTTACTTGTCTAACACCAGACGATTTTACTCGTCAATGGGGAAGCTCTGCAGCTTAATGGTTAACCAAAAAATCTGACAATGTCTCTAGTTAGCCCAGTGATCAGCTGCAATGCACCCCAGTGTGCCCTACTTCTTTTTTGCTTGTCTAACACCAGATGATTTTACTTGTCAATGGGGAAGCTGTGCAGCTTAATGGGTTAATATATTATTTTACTTAATTTTATTGAAATTTATGATGTTTTATATTACCAGGAATTAGTCTTTTAAAACAACTTGGCTTATGACAAATGCAATATATACGTGCTGTGTTCAGAGTAGGTCTGATCAATCCAGTTAGTAACGAGTAAGATCATAATTAAAGTCACAATTTATTTTGCCTTTTTAATATTAGATCTCTAACACAATAAAATCGACCTGAATAAGAATAAAATATACCAACGAGGATTCCGGTCTATTAAGGTTACAGAACACCTTTGAGTGTTAATTTTGCCTAAAATTTTTTTATCGGTTTCCATGAAAGCATTAGTCTAGTTCTACCATGGATAATAAAATAAATATTATATAAATAAATATTTATTTTATTATCCATGGTTCTACTATCTGACCAAGTTTGGACGAAAAATGTTGAAAACTCGCAGAGTTATTTAATAAAATACATTTCGCTTGCAATAAGAAAAACATTGAAAATGTAATATTCAAATTCAGTTCTCTTCCGAAGAATTTTACGGCACTTACTGATTTTTAAACGAGTTGTGCTCCTGCAGGTTTTAACGAATTTCTCTCAAATTTTCACAGGACATAGCTAAAGACGTCAGTTTCAAAATGGTGTTCGGCTTTGTTCTAATTTTGGATATTTTAATAATAATGAGCAATTCACACAAACGATTCAGAAATATATTGCAGTCGTCAAAGAAATCGCCATATCAGCGGAATGACGAAATACAGTAAACAAAAATTTCCGAACACAATTTTTTAGAACAACTATTTTACTGTATAAAAATGATATTTTCATAAGTATAATTTAAAACCAGCAGGAACATAACTCAAGAGCGTAAAGGTTCCGCGACTTAAGTTTTTCCTGAATAATTCTTACATTATTTTATTGTTTGTCAATTTTACAACTTTATCATATTTTGCATGCATTGGCTAACATTTGGTGAAATTTGATGAAACCTGTAACCGTAAAGTAGTCAGGAATAGGTTCGCGCATCATAATGCATTAGTAAATGGAAAGTTCCCCCACCTCGAGGTATAAACTGGTTTTAGCAGGATTTATATGGGAACCAATTCAGGGTTTTAGAACATTGCTACTTAAAGACACCTCAGTCAGTGGGATTGTACCGCCTCGTGGAGCTTGTAAACTACAATCCTGGTCAAATATCCTTGGCGCACTTAATCTAAATAGCATAACCTTTACTTCATTTCTGATTACCATATAAATACTTGCTCAATTGATGCAAAATTTCATGTCCAAACACCCCCTATCCCCCTTATCAATGCTGTGTAACACCTTGGACGTCTAACACACATCACACAACATTGAACGGGGGAAAGGGGGGTTTCTATGCTTGTTATTGAAATGGGAATCAAATTTTGCCCAGTCAGTGTCAAGTGCGCCAAAATATTTGACCAGGATTGTCCGAATATAAAAATGAAACTAAAATTTATGTACATATATAATTTTGACTCAGAATGTACCGAAGCATTATTTACGTGTTTTCTACGTATATTGGGAGGCGTGTTCTAGATGATTTCGTTGGGAGTTATTGAAAACCTAGCGTGCGCGTCGTAATGTTGATAATTATGACGTCATATGTGGGGGGTGTTACTATGAATCATGATAATCCCGTACGCGTATCTTAAGTGAGGCTGGATAGAAAATAAAATTGAATAATACGCATTTCGAGAATTAGATTCATTTAAGGATGATTTACACAAGAAAAATCACAGCAAAGACAAGGGCTTTGGTACTTTATTATAGAAAGGAATCGGATTTTTCGAATAGGCTAGGGAGATCGCGAGAAAATGTCATGTAAGCCCTTTATTAGTAGCAAGAATATAGAGGGAAGCCCAACAACCAGCTGCGCGGAGATCTAAACAGTTAAAAGGCAACAAGTCGCCCAAGAAAGGTTGACGAGCGATCGTAATTGTCGCTATTTTGAAAGGATGGGAAAGGTGTGGTTCTCAAAGTTCCTTATGAGAAAATGAATGGCAATTTCTTTGCAGAGTTCATTGGAAAGCATTTTAACCCTTGTTTTGCAAAGTGCGGACGTAAAAAAAGATCGTCGCCTGTTTCTCATGGATAATGACCAATCACAAACGAGTAAAGCAGCGCGAATTTAAAAGCAATGGAAAAAATCGAGGCTGAATTTCACAAGATTTCGGCTACATCGCCTGACCTGAAGCCGATTGAAAATGTCTTTCACCTGGTAAAGAAAAGTCTCGAGAATGAAGCAATTGCTGATAATATAACGTACGAAACTTTCCAAGACTTTTCAGCGCGGGTTTTAAAATCCTTGTAAAGTCTGTCAACCGACATAATCGATGGTACTATTTCAAGCCTGTCAAGTCGAGTAGATGCTGTTCTTAAAGCAAGAGGAAAAGCAGGAGGAAATCGCATAAAATACTGGGAGTTCTATTTTTTACTGTTATATATAGTAATTCAAGGCAGAGTGAGGGCAGTATAGATCAAAATAGGGGTAGCTATTTTTGCAAATAGGCAATTATCTTGCTGTCAACAAGTAGATTAAATGCTAAGTACAATTACACGTCTTCACAGCGTGACTCCAATGGTGCAGCAACGCAAAATTACAAACAGTGTTCCCTTGATATTTCCTAATTATTTGCCAAGGATGCAAAAAATTTTGTTTTCGGATACACAAAGTGGTTTGCATTACTTGAATAAATGCATTTATTCATTTATAAATCTTATTTAGGTCATTATTGCAAAATTAAGATCAGTACTCCACAAACCTAGCTTAAATTTCTTGACTATTTCAGTACAGCATATAATATGACATGAGACTGTCGAGTCATCAAATTCTATTGAAAATGAACTAAATTTTCGTGTACAAACAACGGCCAAGTTGACTTCCAAAGTTATATCAGTTAACATTCTGCGGATATTCTGAGTTTTAGTTTACAAGGAAAAGAATAGCATGCATCAAGCGTGCCAGTTTTTCAGGGAATGAGCGAGACGTTCATATCTGTAACGTTCATATCTGTAACACTTATAGCACAATAATGCACTGTGGCCTGTGACCCTGTCTTGAGTTTTGTTCCACTATTATGTGAAAAGTGTCACTCAATCCTCTATCGACAGTTATGGGTTTTCTCCGAGTTCTCCGGTTTCCTCTCACAAGGAATTGGGTTGTAATTAGCACCAACCCTAAGTTGGGATTAGCCCCTAACTCACCTACCACCGCAGCTGTGCTTCGTAATCAGAATGAATCGTGGTGTTGATCGCCTTTGAAAAAATCACATGTGCATGTTTTTTTTTCCAAATTGCGCTCGAGATCATACTATTACCGATACAAATTACTACCCATGTGACTTTGAAACGGTCGCAATCTATTACTACCATTGTAAGGAATGTCTGTTGAATATCATGGCGACTAGACTTTACTGTTTAGTGCACTTTTTCCCCCAATTGGCCTTCTTTTTATGTTTTCTGACATGGGTTTTAGCATGGCATGCGCCAGAGTTGTAGACTCGAGTCGTGTGACTTGGACTAGAGTCGCAATTTTTGTGACTTGACTTGTTAAAGAGACTGATGACTTGTGACTTGACTTGGACTTGCAGGAAATGACTTGTGACTTGACTTGACTTGGACTTGCAACATAGGACTCGTTAACAACTCTGGCATGCGCACCTGAATTAATGTTATATCCCAATGTTTCATGCACGAACATGCTTCACATTTAGCTAGAGCTTAAATTGAGCGCAATCTTAAACCTATACCTCTAACCGTAAACTGGGCAGGAAACATGAGGAATAACCACATGAAAACGGGGTCATTGAGACATGAGTGAAAAAATTGTACAGTCTATTGCAAAAAAGCAATCTGACAATTTCGGTGTTTTTAATACGCTGGTTTCAAGCATCGCTGACAAATACTGGCATGCAATATCGCATATAATTGATGCGCGTTCATTAGAGAATTTTCAATATCTTTAATTAATGCTTTATGATATACATGTTCTTTGCGCATTAATCGCTATGTACATGCAAGAATGTTGTACAAGAGTATATTTGCAGCTCAAGACTACTGTACGCGTCTACGCCCAGTAAAAGTTTCAGAACTTTTAGCATTTGGGATAGCATTTGTAGAATGTTGTGTAATGTTATCAACTGTTTTATTTACGCGAGAAACAGAATCGGTAATAACATAATAATTATTATATGAAAACTGCAGTTCCACAATGTTCTCTTAAATAATGTTCTCGATAATAAAGTTCTCTTATTTTCTTTTCTTCTTCTTTTGAGTTTCTGCTATAGGCATTTCTGCGTCCACTGACTAGGGTTGGAGGCTAGCTTCTCTTTTTATATCAACGCTTATATTAGGGGGAACTTGTACACGTTCCTGAAAAAGGTGGGCTGATTCCACTGTGGCCAATCAACGTTGAGTAATTGATGTACGGTTAACGGCTCGTCCCAGTTCTATAACTCAAAACCAGGCATTGTCCAATAACGTAAATCGGTCTTTATGCTCAAAAC